GCTCGATCCCAGGACCCCGGGATCATGACCTGAGCCAAAGGCAGATGCTTAACCGACTGAGCCACCCAGGTGCCCCATAAATAAAATGCTATAATGAAATATTCCTATGACCTCATCTGACTAGCACTAGTTTATAAATACATGTAAAAGTGGTGTGGTTTATTCTTGAGATGAGGAGAATGATGAAGAGATTTGGAAAAGAAAAGGTAGCCTCAAAGCCCTCACATTCTAGAGGTTGTTCAGCATGGAATGCACCCAGGCCAACACAGGACCCCGCACGGGCAGTAGGCAAGTGTTGGGGGGAAATCAAAGATTAGGGTTCTCTGACAGTACTTTGGAGAGAAAATAAATCTTAGATGATTATTTTCATGCAAGTATGTTAATGAACAAAGAAGAATTTCTTCTAAAGGTGGAAGTATAGGAAAGTTTTTTAAATGTTTCATTCCTTTTAATTTATTTCACAAATTGCTTAAATTTGATTTTAATTTACTTACTCAATTATCACCGAATATTCTTTGGAGGGGTTTGCCCTCGAAAGGGCTTGTGTCTGTTCATCACACTATACCAGTGGTTCTTGCCGTGCGGTCCTAAGATCAACAGCATCAGCATCACCTGGAAACTTGTTGGAAAAGCAAGTTCTCAGGCCCCAACCAAGACCTACTGACTCAGAAACTCTGTGGGTGGAGCCCAGAACTCTGATTTCATAAGCCCTTTATGTGATTCTAATGCACAGTGAAGTCTGAGAGCCACTGAGCTTTACAAAGCTCACACCTCGCACAACTTCTGATTCTCAGAAGGGCAGGAAGTGGTAGGAGTTATCTATGACAGGTGCCAGATAAGACACAGTAATATTTTTTAATATCTGTGGCTTCCCCTCATTGTATCAAAAAACCCACCACAAAGCATATAGTCAGAACATGTACCAGTCACAGGCATATAAATAAACCAACAGTGAAATGTGGTCAGATGACCTACCAACCATAGACACATAGACTAAATGAAACTACACTCCTCTCTGATTTGCTCAAGGGAAGAAAACAATGCAAAAGAATCCCAAACTGACAGCAAATGCCAAATTTGAAGTGGGGGGAGGCTAAAATGAGGGAAGATAATAAGGGTACAGAAGAGGGCAAACATTTATTTCTCCCTGTAGGACTTGGAGTCATATATACCTAATCAGAATGTGGAGAAACAAGTCTAAATTTAGATTATTGAGTGCAGTTTTTCCCCATATCTCTGATCCAGCTTCCTAAACCCATAGAAGGAACATTTTGGATAAGAGAATACCATCAGAAAATGGTAGACAGAGCTCACAGAAACAGAGGGTAGAAGGGTGGTTTCCTGGGGCTAAGGAGATGTGGGTCAAAGGGCACAAACTTCCAGTTATAAGATTAACAAGTTCTGGGGATCTAATGTACAGCATGGTGATTAATTAATAATACTGTATTACATACTTGAAAATTGCTAAGAAAGTTGATCTAGAATGTTCTTACCACAAAAAGAACTGGTGATTCAGTGACGTGATGATGTAAATCATGCTATGGTGGTAATCGCTTTGCAATATATAAGTGTATCAAATAAACACATTGTACATCCTAAATTTATACAACATTGTATATCAATTATATTTCAATAAGTCTGGGGAAAATTTTTTTGATTAAAAAGAAAAGCAAAAATGGCAGACAATCTACAATAATTTTTACAACCAAAACTTGAGAAACATGATCTGACAAAGTTATGCTGTTTCCGATGATAAAAGGGGGTCTCATGGATACATAGTTTAGTACCAAAGTAGATGTGTGATGGAAAACAAAACACTGTGATCAAGACTATTCCAGAAAATTCTGGTGCATGGAATCCACAATGCAGATGTAGATTTTTCTCCAGGTATATTTGCGTTCCCTCTCCTATCACTGAGGATATTCAAAGGCACAATACAAAGCAATCCTCTAGCCTCCCCCTTAGTCACGGTCATTCTCAAGTAAATATGCTGAATCCTTAAGACTGTTTAACACCAAGGAAATTTCTCATAGTCATTCATAAACATTTTTAGAAGCACACACTTCCCACTTGGCCACCATTCCTACAGGCTGTACACTCATAAGGGCTGAAGCTGACTCTTACAGTTATGATTTCAGCTGAAGAACTTCATGGAGATACCTCTTCGTGGTTCTGATTTGCATTTCCCTGATGATCAGTCATGTTGAGCATCTTTCCATGTGTCTGGTGACCATCTGTATGTCTTCTTTGAAAAAATGTCTATTCATGTCTTCTGTCCATTTTTTAATTGGATTATTCATTTTGGGGTGTTCAGTTTTCTAAGTTCTTTATACATTTTGGATACTAACCCTTTATCAGATATGTCATTTGCTAATATCTTCTCCCTCCCAATAGGTTACTTTCTAGTTTTATTGATTGTTTCTTTCACTGTGCAGAAGCTTTTTATTTTGATAAAGTCCCAATAGCTTATTTTTGCTTTTGTTTCCCTTGCCTCTGGAGACATAGTTAGAAAGATATTGCTATGGCCGATGTCGAAGAGGTTACTGCCTGTGTTCTTTTCTAGGATTTTTATGGTTTCATGTCTCACATTAAGGTCTTTAATCCATTTTGAATTTATCTTTGTGTATGGTGTAAGAAAGTGGTCCAGCTTCATTCTTTTGTATGTTTTCCCAGCACCATTTTTTGAAGAGACTGCCTTTTTCCCTTTGCACATTCTTTTATTACAGTGAGATACCACCTCACACCAGTCAGAATGGCTAAAATTAACAAGTCAGGAAACGACAGATGTTGGCGAGGATGCAGAGAAAGGGGAACCCTCCTACACTGTTGGTGGGAATGCAAACTGGTGCAGCCACTCTGGAAAAGAATATGGAAGGTCCTCAAAATTTAAAAATAGAACTATTGTACGATCCAGCAATTGCACTACTAAGTATTTACCCAAAGAATGCAAAAATACTAACTCAAAGGGATACATGCACCCTGATGTTGATAGCATTACCTATACTAGCCAAATTATGGCAACAGCCCAAGTGTCCATCAACTGATGAATGGACAAAGAAGATGTGGTGTATATATACAATGGAATATTATTCAGCCATAAAAAGAAAGAAATCTTGCCATTTGCAATGACATGGATCTAGCTAGAGAGTATTATGCTAAGCAAAATATGTCAGTCAGCGAAAGACTAATACCATATGATTTCACTCATATGTGGAATTTAAGAAACAGAAAAAGGAGCAAAGGGAAAAAAGAGAGAGAAAAGCAAACCAAGAAACAGACTCCTAACTATAGAGAACAAACTAATAGTTACCAATGGGGAGGTGGGGGGTGGGATGGGTTAAATAGGTGATGGGGATTGAGGAGGACACTTGTTGTGATGAGCACCAGGTGATGTGTGGAAATGTTGAATCACTACATTGTACACCTAAAACTAATATTACACTGTATGTTAACTAACTGGAATTCAAATTAAAACTTCTAAAAAATACGTAATGGCTACAGTTTTATATATTATCCCTTGCACTTTCTCACATTAGAAATTCAAAATGAGAAACAGACACACATAAAATAGTTATTAATTAAGGGGGGGGGAAAGAACTTTGTGGAGAAAAGGACCCACCAGAACCGTACCTTGAGGCAACTGGATTATAAATTTCTAAATGCAAATGAACTGGAATCAGAACTCAATTATTTGAGTCAATCCTGAGTTCTGTTCCTATTGCCTCTACTAAGTGATCATTAAGATGCCTAAATATAGGGCACTTATTCATTTAAGAGGTTACAAAGCAGTGAAAGATCAAAAGTATAGATCCTAGTAGAGTATGAATATAAATAATCAAAAGTAGAAAATAAATTTCCTTGACATAAAGCAAAGACCAGGCTCCATCTATAGACTCGTGAAGAAATTCTGAAGTAAGGAAAGCAATTGTCTTGCAGACACTCCTTATCCCTTGAGTAGGCAAGTTCACTGGGACCTCAAACCATCGTAACTGCACGCTGCGTTTATTTTTCAACTGTCCTCCTCAAATCTGCTCTTATAAATATATTAAAGTCATTCACATTCCTCACATATGTAGGTTTAAGATTATGGTAGATTACAGAAAAAAAAAATGGCCACAAATTCTCTGTAGCTCCTCCCACTGGGAGAGTCTATGGACTTGACCTATGATATGTCCCTGCCAGTGAGACATTAGCAAACATAACAGAAGAAACTTTAAAGAATGTTTGTGCATTGCCCCTGTCCTCTCTTGCTGCTTTTGGAACCCAACTGCCATGTGAACAAGCCCAGACTGGTCTGCTGGATGATGAGCAACATGTCGCCCAGAGGCCCCCATCATTCCAGCCAAGCGCCAGACACGTGCGTGAGCACTGATTGCCATATGCCCCGGATGCCTTCGATGCCATTCCTTTTCATCTGGCTCTGGGGATGTCCCTGAAATGTTCTTCCCTCTTCACAGTTGGCTTTTGTTTTTTCATTCTTTGCTGGGAGAGAGCTCGGGTGTCCTACTCCTTCCCACGGGAGTGGCTTGGGGGCAGTGGTCTGTCATCACTGTCCGTAGTGGAGGCACAGCTAGGCCCCAGAACCCCAGGGTTGGGGCCCCTGTGACAATGTGCTGTTGTAGGGGATGGTCTGAGATATAGGGTGACCGATGGCAGCCTGCATCCCGAGTCCCAAATAGACAACCCCAAAGGAGACGAGACTTGCTTGCATGTTCTACTTTTTTTTTTCCTGGCCTTTTAGCTTCACTGTGCTTTTAAATTCTTTATTGATTTGGATTTGTCTAAAAACCTGTGGACAATGCCCTGTGTTTGTTCCATTGGTTTTCTATCACCGTCATTAATTTTCAATTTAAGGGCACATGATGGAAGTTGCTGCATATGTTGAGTGCTGTTATAAAATTGCTTCCATTTTAATGAAGATTCTGAGCCCCTAGGTGTGCCTGCAGTAGAGTGATGACCTCTTTTTTTATTCCAGCACATTGTCAACTCAAAGCACTTACTGATTTTGTGGAGCAGCGTGTCCTCTCCCGTGCCATCAGCTGCCTCCTTATGCAATACCACAGTGCGCCATCTAAAATCCCATAGGGCTTTAGAGGGGTTGCCTGGAGAGACCGTTAGCTGTTTGGACTGAAGTCTTAATGATATGTTGATGGTGATCCGGATCATGTTTCATTTTTTTCAATACCAGATGGTTTCTGATGCTACAGATCAGAGCGAATGTCCGAAGTTTAATTCATTAGTAAAAGTATGTCTTTCGATGGGATAAGCCCAACTGAAAGGAAGTGTGGACTAAGGAATGTGTACTGCCTTGTGGTCTGGACTTTCAGATTCCAGTGGTAAGAAAAAAGGTCGTATTGCTTCTAGGCACTGGGGCCCCCAGGAGTGAGAAGCACCACCCCTCAAGAGAGAGACCACCTCAGCTGAAGGGTGACACATCTGTCATGTGGCCGTGTCTGTATTTCTCATCTGAGTCACAGGAGAGCAGTTTATTTTTAAACAGGTGTAAGCAGCACGCACCAGGTGAGATGTGGTCCTAAGTTTCGGTCCCAGGTAGCCCCCAGCAACAATTTTGAAGGAGCTGAATCTGCGGTGTAATAAAAGTGGAAGGGGCCTCCCTCCCCATGAGCAGCTCAATCTCTTTGCAAGTCAGAACTGCGTTTCTCTGTGCTGGGAAGGAAGGAACTATGGGTCAGGAGCCACTCACTGGACCACAACCAAGGCCGCTTTTCAAGCCGCATCTCAGGAGCTGTGCTGAGACAAGAGGAGTCTAGAAGCTTCTTCTCATGATGGGCTCAAACATATGTGAGTGCCCAGGTTCACATGTAACTGGGGTTGGGGGGACACAAGTAGGCTTCTGCTGAGAGTCTACCTATTGGTCAAGAACTTCAGTGCTAGGCAAACCCAGTTAAATTTGGGGCTCTGTCACCACCGCCTCTTACTGTTTATACTCTCACTGCCTCAACTTCTTCATCCTTGAATTAAAAAAATAGGAATCCTACAACCTGGAGTTAAGTAAGAGAGAATTTTGTCGAGTGACTGGCACGGAGTCCGGATGTAGGCAGTTCTCATAGATGCGAGCTACTTAGGCAAAGCTGCCTGGATGAAGAGCAGTACCTGGATACATATCTGGATACATACAAGGTCCTGATGAACCCCAATTTAATGTGTTCTTCTGAGGTAGCTATTAAGACAACTACTGCTTAGGAAATCTGGTTAAAATATTTCATTTTTCAGTCTTTTACTTATCACTAGCGAGTCAAAGCCACAGTTTGAACCCATTTCCTGTTTACTCTGAAATAACAGAGGCTCTGGATCCCAAACGCCCAGGGTTCAATCCTGGCTTCATCCTTAACTAGCTCTGTAGTCTTGGGCTCAGAAATGGCAACAACCATGGTGTTCTACTTAAGGACTGTGGGGATCTGAGGAGCCATTGCACTTAAAGAGATCTGCCCAGCACCAGGCACTTAAATGTTTATCCCTGAAGCCACCGAGAGCCCAGGCAGCAAGCAATCACTTAATCCTGTAAGAAGGTGGACCCATACCCACTACGGCCATGAAGACGGATCCCACCTCCACTCCAACTCTAGCCTCGAACCTCATATGAAAAGAATCGGGGCACAGATTTAATCATTCCTCACCGATCTTCCCCAGGGAAAAGCATAGCGGACATCTGCAAACTGCTTCGTGTTTTATAGATTTCAAAGCGCAAGACCATATGCATCATCTCATCTGAGCTTTATGGTTTATCCCCATTTTGTAGAAGAGGAAACTGAGGCTGCCAGAGGCCAACCGCACAGCTGCTCAGTGACAAAGCTGAGACTTGAGTTGGGCTCTGCTCAACTCTCAGCCAGGCCCCTTTCCCTCCCAGCTGGGAAGAGAGGCAAGGATGCTGACTTTCAGTTCTCAATTCCAGACGCCCAGACTCTCAGCAAAGCTGAAAAACACTAGCAATCGGATCGTAATTAAGTCCCCACCACAAAACAAAATAAGAGTCAATGGCTTAGTTGTAAAAGAGTTTCAAATATGTCCCCATCCGACCTTCACGGCCATGAACTTCATGAGAAGTTCCTGCAATTATGTGATGGCGGCGTCTCACATAGAGCCGTCCTCAGAAATGCACGGCGTAGTGAAGCAAGCCATTATCAGCTGCCATCCCCAGCCTGCATTCCAGGTAAGGGGATGTCATATGCTTTCTGCTGTCCTCACAGACGATTCTAAAACCTACGGCGAGCAGGTAAACTTCATTCCTTTTCAACAATAGTTCAGCCACGAATGAGCTCTCAACCACTTCAATTTTAAGCGGAGCAGTGGGAGGAGAAGGAACAGAAATCCTCTATAATTAAAGGCCGGTTCATCAACACTTTCATACATACGGATTAGCCGTTTAAAGTGAGGTTAAAAAGCAGCCTTGTGAATAGATTTTTAACGTCAAGACTCTCATAAAAACTCCATATGCTCCACCAGCAAGTGCCCTTCACTCATTACTGGTGTCCTTTCTTCCCTTCTGTCAACCCCTCGGGTCACCAGCCTAAAGAAGGCAAATACCACTAATTCTCCCCGAATGTCCCCCAAATTAGAATAAAAACAAAATGGTGGTGAAGTATGGCCGTGGCAGCGGCTGTGGACACCACTGGGGCAGACTCCTCAGCGTCCCGTGGTGGAGGCTTAAGGCTCCTTCAGCACATTCTGCTATTTCTCTGAGTTTCCCAAGGTAAAGCTGGAGAGGTACCTTCGGCTCCATTCTGACCCTCATTCCCTGCATTCAGCTGACAACTCTGACGATTCCACCTGTCGATTAGATTTTAGGTCCAACCTTTCATTCCCACTGCCACAGGTTCAAGCCCTCACTTCCACCTGCCTGAGCTTCCTGACTCCTCTGCTGTCTTACCTTCTCTTCTTGACTGTAATTCGATCGATCTGTAATATCTAATTCTGCCAGAATAATCTTTCTTCCCCATTCTTCCTAGAATCACTCATTCTCCCTAGAAATCTCCCAATTCTATCAGAACAATCTTTCTAAAACACATATCAGGGGACTGAGCGTGGGTGGCTCAGTCGTTAAGCGTCTGCCTTCGGCTCAGGTCATGATCCCAGGGTCCTGGGATCGAGCTCCACATCGGGCTCCCTGCTTGGCAAGAAGCCTGCTTCTCCCTCTCCAACTCTCTCTGCTTGTGTTCCCCCTCTCTCTGTGTCTCTCTCTGTCAAATAAATAAATAATATCTTTAAAAAAATAAATAAAACACAGATCAGTTCCCATACGGTGCAAAATGTCCCCAAGTCTTCATTTTGCAAACTCAGCATCTAGAGTCTCCCCAGTGTGCCCCAGTGAGCATTTCAGCCTTACCACTCATTACAGCACCCAGGGTAACTTATTCTGCAGCCAACTGCATCTACTGTTCTCTGAACCTCCCTTCTCCTCCCCCTCTCACCCTCACCCAGGACTTTTGTTCCATAGTGTCCTTCCCCTGTGTATAAATCCACAATATTTCCCTGTCCAACTCGTTGGAAATTCTGACTGGACTGTTGTTAATACAAAACTTCAATTGATTAAACTTTCAATATTTTGAGCATTTCGATCAGTTAAGTCCAGTCAATGCTCTCCAACTAAAGGCTACCAGGGATACACCTAGAGTTGAACAAGTCGGGTTTATCACACACTGCAGCAAGGGAGAACACACATCATGGGAACCAGGAGGTGTCTCTGTAAAAGGGGGTTAGATGCTACTTACAGGATTTGAACTCCAGCTGGATGATCTGGGGAGGATTCACTCTAGAGTGGGGGGTCAGAAAGCAGGAGCAGCTCTATGCTTGAGTATCCCAATAAATCTTATCTATAGCAAGGGCAAGCTAGCTCAAGGTCAAAACTGTAAGTGGTAAAGAAGCAGCTGGCCCTCAATTTATTTGTGAGGGAAGAGGAAGTGTGGTATTGTGTTGGTTGCATGGTGACCTTGGTTTTGTCTGTACTTAGAATTATGAAATGGTCTTGTTTGTCTCACTATCATGGCCTAGGAGTGACCGTGTCTGGTGTCAGTTTCTGTGGGATTGTTTATGTCCCTGTGTCCAATAGGAGACACAATGGCCCAGCTGTGAGCACCAGGCCAGCTCCTAACACCTCCAAGGCCTACCTATAATTGTCCAACAAGCCCCCATATATCAGTGTTCTTACTGTCATCATGATGTCAATGTAGAGACTTAAAATTTTTTTCTTAGGTAAGTACAGATTACAAAGACTTTCTACAGCTGTTAGCTAGGTAGACAAGACTCTATTTGGGAGCCCCATGGTGAGGACAGATATCATATTTTGCAATATAAAAAAATAAGGGCATGGCAATAGAGTTGGGATGTGGGAAAAGACAATATATTGTATACAATCTATAATTCTTAGGGATGCTGCGTTATGTAGATCAAGAACCCCTTAGAGCTTGTTAAACATAAGAATTGTCTCCATCTTAGTGAACCTAGTAAAGAAAGTTTTCTGGTTCATAAAAGATGAAAGCTGTCCACTGTACATATCCAAGAATCTAAATGCAATTAAGCATTCATTAGCAAGCTAAATGTCTTCATATCTTGTGGGTGTACTTTTTTCTTTACGGCTGTTGAATTGCTACTGAAATCCAAAGCAGTAAGTTTTATCTTAGATTGTGTTTCCAGAAGACATTATCAGAGTGCTGATATTGCCAAGTCTGAGTTTAAAGGAAGCAATGACAGCTCCCTTTCCGGCCTCAGAGATCAGAGGTGCAGCCCGCACGTAGGGCATATATAAAAAGTATCTGAAATTCCTATAGCTTCCTTTAAAAAGGTGTTCTTTGGAAAAAGTCTAAACTTTCTTTCTTTTATAGCCTGGATGATCTAAATGAGTTACAGACCCTCTGGTGGAGAAGAATCAGCAGAGACACATGATTGGCAACTTGCCCCAGGTCTCATTGGTGACAACCAATGAGCATCTAAGGTTATTCACAAAGACAAAAACTGATATTTGTATAGCCACATAAAAATCCTCTGATGCCTTCCTTATATTTTAAATCCTTTAAATAGTAACTTAAGGCACATTCTATAATGGTGTGGTTAATTCAATTCAACAAACAAGGTCAGAGTAATGATTCAATTGTGTTAGGCACGGGCCAAGACCAGTGAACTCAGGCAAACCATCTCCAACCAGGGATTCC